TTAGAAGGACAATATGCCAATGAAGATGCTTCAGAATTGGTTGAACTAGCATCAAAATGTCTTCAGCATGAAGCGAGAGATCGACCTGATATCAAGTTTCTCCTTTCAGCAGTGGTGCCCCTTCAAAAGCAGAAAGAGGTAAAATTTTAGGTCTTAAACTTCCTTCTTCTTCTTCTTCTTCTCTCTTTCTATTATGATGCTGTGGCAGAAGAGTGTACTTTATGTCCAGATGGTGTGATGCTTATATGCATCTTAGCTGCACTAATTGGATTCTACTCGCATTGGTTTTACTAGGTTGCATCACATGTTCTAATGGGTCTATCAAAAACTCCAGTAGTGCTGCCTACCATGCTTTCTCCACTTGGTAAGGCATGTGCAAGGATGGATCTAACTGCAGTGCATGAGATCTTGCTGAAAACTGGTTATAAAGATGAAGAGGGTGCAGAAAATGAGGTGGGTTATGCCTGTGTCACTTCATGATGAAACATATCAAGCAGGCACAGTATTTAGAAAAGCTAGAAGGCTCGTATGCACATTAGCTGATAGCACAACTGTGCTTTTGTACTCGTAGATTGTTGCTGCCATGATATAAGCATTTCCTCGTTCTTTCAAATCATGCTTATAGTTTTTCACTTCATTCTTTGTTATATCAATAATATTGCATAACAATCTAATTTGCTTTGCTTGTGTATCTGCGAAGCTTTCATTCCAAGAGTGGACGCAACAAGTTCAAGATATGTTGAATACGAAAAAATTTGGGGACATTGCCTTCAGAGACAAGGATTTTAAAAATGCTATTGATTATTACTCAAAGGTAATAACCCTTACATTCTTGTTTTCAAGATTCTTTTATGATTATTACATTTTGAGATTAGTTGGCTTTAGTTATAAGTCCAAATTGCATTGTTTAGGAAGTTCAACTTTCTCTCATTTTCTTTTACTTGCTGAAACATTAAAAACAAAACCATTTCATGTCCATTTCTTCACCTGTTCGATAACCAACTACCATCTTTCTTTTGGTTGAAGTCGGTATTTGGCTACTCTGCTTGGCTCATGAATGTCTGTTCCTCACAGTGTTGTTCATTACTTAAAAATCTAAATGGCAATGCAGTTGGTATCAATGATGTCCATTCCTTCTGGTACTGTTTTCGTGAGGCGAGCCCTCTCATACTTGATTATTGGTCAACCAGAACTCGCATTGAGAGATGCCATGCAAGCTCAGGTCTGCTTGCCTGAGTGGCCTACCGCTTTCTACATGCAAGCTCTTGCCCTCTCAAAGCTCGGAATGGAAACTGATGCACAGGACATGCTTAACGACGGCGCCTCGTTTGAGGCAAAGAGGCAGAATGGCTGGCGCATCTAAACGCACTCTATATGAACGTACAGATCATTTTGCCTGTTTGCTACCATGACATTGCTGAGAATTTGAGGAAGTTAAGGAAGAAGCAAATTTTATTTGTATCAGTTTATGTGCCCTTTTATCTTTGTAGGAGGAACTGTTTTCACACGCAGAAATGTATAAAGAAAGTATTAATTATCAGGAAATAAGGAAGAGGCCAAAGTAACTATAACTCACCTTCATAATCGTGGCAAAAAGCTTATTTTTAGCCTTTAATTTAATAAATTTATAAATTTTAATTCTTTATTTTATATCATGACACTTTTAATTGTTTATCTATACGAATTAAAGAAAATAACCTTTAATATCATATTATAATGGTTTTTTAGTTTTATTAATTGATTATTAGTTTTGTTAATTAATTATTAATTTTGTTAATTGATTATTAATATTTCATTAATGAAATTAACAAATAAAATTAAATTTAAATTTTATATTTTTTATAATGAAATGTTAATAGTTAATTAATAGAGTTAAGAGTAAGTTAATAAAATTAATAATCAGTTATTATAAAATTAAATAAATGTTATTTTTTTCAATTCAAAGGGTTAAAGTATCTTATACTTATAAGATGTGTGTTTAAAACTTATAAAGATGAAGGGTTAAAAATAAATTTTTTTCCCTAATCGGTATGGTACTGGAAATAATGAATGAGATTGCAGGTCCCTGTACTCAGTGAAAATGTTCAATCTCACAATATGACTTTCAAAATCTTCAACTCTGTCCTTGTACTACTTTTATTTTTTTGTTTTTCAAAAAAGCAGCGATTTTTAGGCCAAATGCACATGTTATGTTGCACTATCCCACCTCACAGCAGTCACATTATCGTGCCATGCCAGCATAGCAAAATAGTAGGCGTGCAGAATTTTAGTTGTACTCCAGCTAGTAAGATTTAGTAGTCTTATTTTTTTAAATAAAGGTAATTTAATTTAATTATTCAGTTTTGTAAATAAGGGTGAGTTGATTTAATTATCTCATTTTTTTTATTTTAATAATACGCTAAAGGTTAATATTTCAATTTTAACCTTATTTTAAATAAGATAGATATGTGTTAAGATTTTTTCACTTAATTATAAGTCTTAACCATTGTAATAAATGGATTTTTTTTTTTTGATAATCATAAATAAAATGAGACAATTAAATTTAATTGGTGTGAGTAAAAAAATTTTCTTGTGTTAGGCGCACCAAATCTATTGCACAAAGGTTGAACCTTGATTTTGATCCCAAATAAAGTTTTTATATTAGAAAACAATTGAAAGATAATTTTTTAATATAATTTTTTTATAATCTTATATGTAGTTGAATAATTAATTATTGTTCACTCTATTAAAAATTATGATAATATATGCATCAACTATTTAATAACAAATAAAAATTATATAGAAAAATTGTATAAAAAAATTATTTGTATATTATTATTTTTTTAAATTAATGAATACCAATTCAACTAAAATTTTATTATTGTAATTTAAAAAGTTTTGATATGGTAATAACACTAAATTTATCAAAGTATATTAGGCCATTTTTAAAAAGTTATAATACCGTGCTCATAAAAATGTGTTCATACTTAAATCCTTAATTAATCAAAATAGAGAGAAACCTTAGTAGTCTAGTATCCTGTTTAATGTTTATGAGCAAAACTAAAGAAAGCCTTTGTTGATTTATGAACGGTTCCTTGAGATTCCCCAATTCCCGACCCCTGAATATTTTGTGCAAATTCACAAGTTACAAATAAATTATCACAATCTTCCTCTTAAATTATCACAATCTTCCTCTTTTTCTACAGTGAACTTCATACAAGGAAAAAGGACTCAGAGGTTAATCAACGAAGAAGAAGAAGAAGAAGAAGAGGAGCAAATAAAATATTTAATAAAGTGGTTATTTTAAATAAATAAACTTTTTTTTTTATCTTAAGTGCATAATGAGAGATAATTATCTATCATCTTTTATCTCATTACACCCACATATCATCCGATTCGAATTCAAAATCTCTTACTTTCAACGAAAAAAAATAAGCATTGAGTTATTTAAGTATTTGCTTAAATAAATAAACTTTGAATATAATTATAAAAGATTTTCTAAGAGCTTTTTTTACCTAATTAAGATGTAATTTAAACCCTTCAAAAGCAACTTAACGGTTAAAAAATTTTAAAAATTTTAAATTTAAATCTTAACTTTAGTAAAGAGAGATTTAGAAAAAAATAAAAGATTATTTTTAAATATAAACTATTATCATAAGATAAATTAAAAAAATTAAGCCATAATTTAAAATTTCAACTGGATTAAGAAAAAAAAAAGAAACATAACCATAATAAAGTAATTTACCAAAAAAGGAAAAAAAATTCCACCTTTTATCATAAAAAAAAATTTCCAAAACTGGAAGAGGAAAAAATTTACCAATCAGAATAGTTATAAATACCCAAATTATAAATAGTAAATAAATAGCTGGAGTCTGGAGAAAGAGAAAAATTGACTTTTTTTTTGGGTCTGTTGCTCTTTAACGTTAACTTCTAACCTAATTGGTAGTAATTAGAACCATAAAATAAAAAGGTCAACACCAAACCTGTAATCTCTCGCCCAACAATTTTCCATCTTTTCTCATCGGTACTCTCTAATCTCTCTTCGTTTTTTTCTTAGGATTTCTGTTTGGTTCTTAATCTTCTGCTAATTTTCTGTGGTTATGATTTTGTTTCTTGCAGTAGCTTCGATTGTTAGTGGTTTTTTTTTTTTTTTTTTTGAGGGGGTGGGGGGTGTGGGTTTCAGAATTTGAAATGCAGATTTTGGTTTCGATTGGTAATTTGATGTGTTTGTGGGCGCTTTGTTTTGGATGGAGTATGGATCTGACCTGAGTCTCGGATCGTTTATTGATGAAAAATGACTAAAAAATGTTTAATTTTACAAGTTGGATTTGATTTTAATGGGATAGGAGGAGATAAGTGTTTCTAATTTGCTTTTGAGATCAATTTGCATTCCATACTAGGAGATGTGCTTTAGTTGTTTAGTTATTAGGAAGCTCAAGCAGTAGTCTTTACCAGGAAGAGGTATGTGTTTCATTGAGACACTGCACCTCCCTTTCAATGGGTAGTTTTAGATTTCTTGTGTGGCAATAGGATGTAGGTGACTTTGCCTGGAATTCTGGGTGGGATGGAGTTTGCATTTTCTCAGCCCACGTTTGAC